TCCTTTGTTTAACATTCCATCCACAGGGCGAAAATGACAGTGACCCAGGCAGGAAGCAAAGTGGCCTCTTGGGCTGCCAGCTTCTCGCTCATACTGAGGTTTACATGTGGTTGTATCCAAAGCAGGTCCACCCATCTTATGGAGAGGGGATCCTGCTGGGCTGAAGTGACAGGATTTTTAGGACTGAACTCTTATTTCCCTTTGACACCAGCTCCCTGGGAACTAGCTGCAGACCCAGCCCAGGAATAGTGAATAGTGCATTGCACAAGTGCAGACAGATCAAACCAGCCGTGGGGGCAAAACCATTCCCTTTTCTAGAAAAGCCAGCCCATTATCTGAGAGGCTCGCTGGCGGCTTAATTAAAAAAGGGAAAGGAGGGGTTCTCCTGCCTCCCCTTCACCTGCAGGCTTTTTAGGGACCTTTTGAGACACTCAGGTTCCCAGAGTGTGGGCAGTTTTTCATCATCAACCGTGAAAGGATTCCCGCAGGGCAGGAGCTGACCTGGCATTTCTTGCCAAACTAAAGTGTTTTCAGAGGCTCCAACATAATCTTTTTTTCTTGAAGTTGTCTTTTTTCTTTCTTGGGTAACTCTGCCAGGGTTGGAGGGAGATGTAAGTACAGTCGTCTCACCAGGAGCCAGAAGTTATCCATCCCTCCTGGGAATCTTATCTAGAGGTTTACCAAGTAGCTCAGGGGAGTAGAGATAAAAGAAAATTAAGCCACTGCAGGGAGTCTTTGCTGCCGCCCAATCCCCAGCCCCCCAGTTTCCTAAATGAGAACAAGTCTGGTGTCCCCTGCTTACACTTGGAAATGAAAATCTCATTGGCTGCATGGTTCTTAGGTTTTGACCCTTAATACACTCCTTCTCAAGCATAAAATTGTAAGTTTGAGGCCAGCAATATTTACTTACTACACCTCCCCGGTTTTACTAAGACTCTCCTGATTTTAGCAGCCTGATGTCTTAAGCACAACTTCCTTTAAGGATTTTTTTGGGCGGTGTGTGGAGGGGTGTGCATGCATCTGAACTCTGAACTGGCAGCGTTACTGAGCTTCCCAAGGGTAACACACTTCGACTGGACTTAATTTTGGACTGGGATGGGGGCGAGGTAGGACTCAGCAAACCAAATTGGAGAACTTTTGATCTTGCCTATCTGAATCTGAATATCCTGAGAGGAAATGTGCGGTCTAAGTGTACAGCACGGTTATTCAAAGTCTGAAGGCTTTGCTTATGCAAATAGTTCTTGCTGGGAAGCTCACGCTAACATAGGGGACAATGGAGGCATTGAGACCCATGCATCCTTCAGCCAACACTGGTGCCTTGATGGTGAAAAGCACTTGTGTTTTAAGGGTGGAGTCTCTCACACGACATTTTCTTGGTTTAAAGCAAGTCTCCTTCTTATAAACGACTTCCCTCTCCTCTCTTTATTGCTGTCATATGTTTTTAAAACTAACTACCCTTTCACATGTTTCATCCTTTCCTGGATTTTCCCCTCCATAATGCACTAGTTGTACATACACTACATAGTGGAATCCAGTGTTGAAGAAAACCTGACACAAGAAAACCATAGAGTCTTAGAAAAGAAAACACCTTAAGGGAGGACTGAGGCCAAGTTTTTCATTTTTCTGAAACAGAAATTAGCAGATGGTCATTCACTTTGCAAGCAAATTCCTTTCAAGGTCTCACCTCTGAAGCTCATGGAACCCAATTAAAATGTAAAATCAGAGATACAACAGCCAAGTTTCTTTCCAGAAAATTCCCTTTGGAGTAAATTTAGAATTATTCACTTAATCATATGCCCTAGAAGAGATGCCAAATTCTTGTATATTGCTAAGCTGGCCCCATATGCAGTCCCCTCTGCCTGGACCATCTTTATGGTCTCTCCCTCCCATCACCTAACAAATTCCTATTCATCCTTCAGGTACCCCAATCATGGGGTCTTAGAAAAGCCTGTATCATGCACCCATCGTGATTGACTTATTATTTATTGGGTTATTAATAATGGGAATTATTTAATCATGGATGTAACTCTTTAATGTCATTCTTTCCTACTGGATTGTATGTTCTATGGCCGTGGGTCCCTGTGTGTCTAGTTCATTGCTCTATCACCAGTGCCTGAACCAGTCCCTTGCACAGAGTATCTCCTCAATAAACACTCGTTTTAATAGCTTCCTTTGTAACATTTTCAGTTTTGCCTTCAAGCAATGCTTCTTGGTGCATTAAAAGCTAACACATCATAGATGCCCTGATGCCTAACAGAATGAGTAGGAAGGAGAAAGAATTAACCTGGTTTCCAGAATGCATGCCTCGCCTGGTCACCCAGCTTACCCAGACAGCCCTTCTCTGCTCCTCTTCCTTGTTCCCCTCCCCCTCCAAGGTTCTAGCACTGGTTCTGGTCTCTTATTGGTTCTCAGCATGCTTCTCTCTTCTGCATGAATCTGCTCAAATAACTTCAACTATTCTCTCCAGCTCTGAGCATCATCTCTAAGGGTGTGTTCAGCTCCGGGAAGCTCTTCATGGATTGACTGATGGAATTGCCCACTCACCTTCTTTGCCACCCAGACCCACTGGTTCTCCCATGTTTATCGAATCCCTGACCATCCAGTCACCTGGACCTGCAGTCTGAATCCTAGTCAACTGCTGGGAGAAATGGTGTTCTTACTGGGCTGAAGTTGGCTTTTCCTCTTCGAGGAGCCCATTTCTAGTTGGTGTCATCCTTTCTGCGGTGTACCCCAGAAGGTAGGAGATGGCCCCCAGACAGGAGAACCAGTTTTGGAGCCTTCTGGAAGGTGACTCACTAGAGGGAGATGGTCAGACTTAGCTAGAGGAGCTCAGAATGTAGCAACTGCAGGCTTTTCCATGAAATAGAATCTATACAAGCACTGGGAAATTGTGACAACCCAGGCCAATCGTGAGAGTCATCAAATTCTGCAGATTTTCCGTGGCATTTCTGGCTTTAGCTCATTGCTTTGGAATATCCCTTTTTCCAGTCCTGCCCTTGACCTGATGTGCTGGTGGAGCGCTGGGGGAACACTGGACATGCTGGAGCTTGCGGAGTTGAACCTGAGCCCTGGCTGCTTTTTCACTACCTGTGTGATCCTGGTGAGCAGTTTCTGTTCTCTGAACCTTGATTTTTTTTTTTCACTTTAAAAAATGGATCATGATCCCTACCGGCTTTATGGGGTTGTTGTGAGACTCCAATGTGGTAATTTACATAAGAGGTTTCGAAACTCATCAGGTGCTGGAGCGGTCAGGGATTATCAAATAGCAGAGAAGCCCTGGGTTCCTCCTTCCTGAATCCTTTCCTCAAGATACCATGTGTGTGATTATTTACTTATTTTTGTTTAAAGAAATCACCTTAAAAAACATTTCTTAGAAAAAATCCTTTATCTCTAAAATGTATAAAAACAGGAGGTAACCATATGAAATACAATAAATATGAAATAACAACATGAAATTCCAGCTAATACTCTTGCCTTCTTAATGCTCTGAACCTGAGGGCAGCTCTCCATCTCTTCAAAGTGAAGCTGAGCAAGAGATTGAGGTGTTAAAGCCCTTTTCGCACCAGATGGAGACTTTTCTCCTTGACATAATCAAAAGGACGAATGAACTGAAAAGGGAGACAAGTGCTGACCAATGCGGTTGAGCATTGTTAATGCGTGTCTGGGTACCAACTCAATCCATCCTGAGACCAACAAATTCATGGCCCATCCTTCTGGAACCCTGTAAATATGATTGGTGTAGACGTGAAATGGTTTAAAGGGAAAAGGAGGAGCTGTAGACTGAACTTCCTACCTTTCATTCATGTTCATCACATTAGCTATGTCACCTTGGCAATTGACTTAATCCCTGTTCATCTTAGTTTACTCATCTGTAAAATGGGATTTGTGTCAAGATAAGGGAAAAAAACAATGTAGCGCAATGTCTGGCCTGTGCTTGATAAGTGCATTTCATATGCCAAGTACAAGGGCAAAGCTTCTGTTTCAGTCCCTCATACCAAGAGCAGAACTGGTTGAAGTTTCCGGCATTGTGGTTCCAAGGACTATGGAATGACTCATAAAAATGAGGAGAAAACTTAGGGCTATTTCTCTACTAGCAAAGTAAAGAGGAGAATTAAAGTGATTAACTGGGCCATTCAGATTTTTAAAAGATGGGAAAATATTAACCAACAATGTCATTTCACCCAGCAAAGCTTTGAACAGGCTTATCCACTCTTTCAAAAGAGTGTTCATGGTCAGCACAGTGTCAAAGGTTCAGCTAAAATTATAAAGCAATGGGAGGTGTTGATAGTAAGCATTTTTTTTCACAAAGGGAGTGCCAACTCGGAGTCTTCAGGATAAGAAGAAATATGATGGGTCCAGGGCCTTCTCAGAATTTCTTGCACTTCAAAGAGCATAGACTTGGCAGTGATTCCGCCCCTTTCCTGAGTGTGGTCAACGTGGCTGAGGAAAGGCAAAACTCTTAAAATCCACACAGATGGAACTTTTCCACTGGCCCTATTTTGGTATAAATATGCATCAAGGACTAGAAACTTTCAAGTAGATAGTGGTCTGAGCTATGAGTGGTTTGGATTCCATTTCAGCCAATTTTCAGTCGTCCTGCCGGCCCTTGGCTCTGGGAGGAACAACCCTCCTGAGATGTGACTGCTGTTGGTTAGAGATCCCAGCCAACTACCTCCCAGACCATGGGAATCACAGGACTTTGTTCTCGAGACGCTTCCAGCCAGAAACAGGGGGCCTCGAGGTTTAGCTGAAGGTCTGAGTGAGTTGTCTGAAGGAAGGAGACAAGTCAAGGCTTGGCTCATCTACCATCTTAAAGTCAGTCCTTTCATAGACGAGTTTGAAGGAGGATAATAAAACTTGGGACCAGACAGCAACAATTCAGAGTCTGCTTTGGAAGGGTGCCTTCCCCATCCCTCTCACTTTCATTCCCCTTTCATCTTAAGATCCTTCCTAAATACTCCCAAGGAGTCTTTCTCCCACCCCCCTGGCCCCACTCCCACCTTGCCAGTCCTGATCTTGGTCCACGAATCAGGAGGTTTCAGATTAAGCAACGTGTGTGGGGCTCCGTCTGGAAGAGGCTAAGGGTCTCAGCTACTCTACTCCACGCCGGTCTGTGTCCTCCGCCCTCATCCTCTGACTCTCCCCGCTCTTTCCCCTCAGGATTCCTTGTCTCTGCCGGGAAGGAAGGAGATCCTATTTGCTCTTATGTCTTCTGATACCGTTCCTTCTCCCTCCTGTCTCCTGAGTTCATCCCATTTCCTTTCCTATCCATTCACGTAACTGAGCCCTTACTGTGCACCTGGCTTTCTGGGGAGGACAGAGGAGAAACAAGGGGGTGATCCCTGCCCTCAGGGAGCTGACAAATGGAGGCATAGGCGGGAGCTCGCGGGACAGGAGTTCAGGGCAGCACAGCACTAGCGTGTATTCCAGGGCCACGTAGGAATCCAAGTGTCTGTTCAATACGAGAGGAAATCTGTGCTAGGAGTTCCAGGGAGAGAGAACTTGGTCTGCACCGAAAGCTTCATGGAGGAGGGCACTGAGGCATGGGTGGAATTTTGGCCTAGGAAGAGGAAGGCCTTTTAGTGTGCACGTGAGGAAGAACGGGCATGTCCAGGGGAAAAGTGACGCGTCAGTTTGGGGGAAGCAGAACGTTGCAGTGATGCATGGGGCTGACCAGGGCCCCCCCATCATGTAGAAACTTTAATGCCAGACTCACGCCAATGGAAAGATTCTAAAGCATCCTAGTGGCAGCTCCCTGGGACAAAGCTGTCTGTTATCGTGATACCTCTGCGAGGTCCCAGCAAGAACCCAGCCCTCAACCTCTATCCTCACATCCTTCTGCTTGAATACAGAACATTTTCCAATGATAAATTATAAGTTAATATAATTATAATTATAAATAAAGTAATTATAAGTAATATAAATATAATTATAAATAAAATGCTGTCATTTGTTTTCTAACAGTGCTTCCGGTGCTTCAAGGTAAAATTTACGTGCAACAAAAATTCACAAATGCCCCTTTCTAGTTGGTACCTCGTCTTTTAGAGGCAGCTGTTATTCTGACTTCTCTCACTGTAGATTGGATTTGCCTGTTTTTTAATATGACAGAAATGGAATGATACAGTTTTTAATTATACCTATTTATTTATTGAGCATTCCCTCCAGACGAAAAAGTCATCAGGATATAAAACTTGGAAAACGTTCTTACTGTTCTAGCATCCCATGTAATAATAAGCTATGACGACTTGGCCGATCGTCTTTAAAAAAGATATTGCCCTCTTTACTGCAGGTTTTTTCCTCCATAGCCTTTTCTGATTTCCTATTACCTCCCTGTCCAAGCCCTTTTTATTAATCAGGTACTTTGCACGTGGAGCCGTGCGGATTTTCCACGAGTGTGTATGAGTTTGGAGATCTTCTCTTGGTGATTTAAAATTTCCTGTTCCCTTCTCACTTGGTATGTTTTTCCACTTTAAAAGACTCTCTTCCAAGAAGTAGGATAGTTTGGTGGCACAGAAGTGGCCTTGAGGCTGGAAGGAGGGAGAAGCATCCCACCCAGGTGGAGGAGGTAGCACAGGTCACAGAACTAATGCCAAGGCGAAAGCCGGGGGCTGTCTGTTGACCGTGTCTCTCAGCTACCAGCAGAGACTGGGTCTCCCAGAAGGTAGGAAGTAACCCAAGAAATGGGTGCTCTGACCTCAATCTTGACCAATACGTAGGACTTGGTTGGTGAACCAGTACCAGAATGTTAGAAAAAAGTGGCCACTGCGTCCTTGAACTAAGGAAACAGAGGGAACCAATGGGGGGAAGTTGCAAAGAGAGAGCGAGAGAGAGAGAGACAGAGAGAGAGATATTTTAGCTCAAAATAAGACAGAGCTGTCTAATAATTAGAGGGCTTCAAGGAACCAGATCTCTTTGGGAGGACTCAGTGCTTGTCGGTTGTTCTTAGAGCATCTGGTCACCCGTTTCACCTCCTGTTTAAGGTTTTGGTTGGGGTACTTGGACAGAATCATTTTTAAGTCTTTCCGAACCTGAAAAGGGATGACACCCTGAACTCTAACCCTACCTCTTCTACTAACTAGCTCTGTGACCTTGAGCAAGTCACCTAACCTGCTAGTTACCTCTTTCCTTGTCTGTTAAACAAGGAAGCTGACCCAGGAAATCTGTGAGGCCCATTCCACCTCTTAGAAGTGAATTCTAATTGCTGAAATATACAGTACAATCATTATTCAAATCAGTATATGATGCTTTCCCTTGGGATGGTCCCAGCCCTGGGCTGGGTCCAAGGAAAGGTGCCGGGCAGGTGGCAAGAGCTGTTCTAATTAGCATGAATCTTCGTACAGAGTGTGTTCTCCCCACGGGCTTTTAGGGCCTGCTGACTGTGTAAGAGGCCAGACTCCAGGAAATACAGCTTTTCCTTCAATCCTCACCTCTTTGTCAGATCCTTGCCAACCCAGGGATTGATCCCCAGAATTTCATTTTTCGGGATAATTGGCAGGGAATCATCTGGGATGTTTTTTCTCCCTCTGTTTAATGTACCATATGCAACTGACAAAAATCAGCTGACGACAATCATCCCAGTGGCATTTTGATATCCAAACCATGCGTGTTTCATTCCGATGCCTCACCTGCTCTAAAACATGGCAAGAACGAACCCACAGCTTCAGACCAGGTCAGAAGTCTGAAGCAGGAACTGCGCAGAAGGAATGGTTTCCATGCAAGATTCTGGATCTGGTTAGTCAGGTTCCCACATTTCAAAATTTTCATCCTCATGGTTCAACGTGGAATTTCCCATGGGATTTCTTTCCCTCCAATTATCATTTAAATGGCTTCAGGATTGGAAACTGCATGAAACTTGGGGTGCACAAACACCATCCTATGGTCCTCAGAAATGTGTTTTCACATTCTGACCACAGGTCCAGCGTGCTAGATTTCACATTGTGTGTGTGTGTGTGTGTGTTTGTGCGTGTGCATGTGTTCCTTTCTTTCCACATATGTTGCATATCCTCAGTTAACTTTTCGTCTCCCGTTGTCACAACACACATCTACATCTTCCTGCAAAAATTCAAACTCAGTGGAGGTGAGCTTGCTGGAACTCCTTTGCTGAGCTTGGGAGGCTCAAGCCACCACCAGAAGTCTTCTGTGTGTCAGCTTGGTGGGCCCTGTTGCCCCAAAGGGTTTTGGTTGAGAGGCCAGAGGAGCAAGTTCTCAGATGAGAGTTAAAAGATGTGTGTGATGGATGGATGGATACACAGAAGTGTATTTCTCTACAGGTCAAGATGCGTGGTATTCCCCAAGTTAGAAGTCAAATAAAATGGAGTAGATGCGTGTCAGACTTGGAACACACAAAACTAGACTGTGACCCAGTCCTAGTGGCTCATTCATCCTCGTCTTTCAATGCTCAGCTCAGATGTCACCTCCTTGGTAAGTTTTCCTGTGATCACCTCCCCAAGTACTTAAGCTCTTAAGTACTTCCTCTCTGATGTCCCTCGGTCCCTCATTCGTACCTCTGCTCGAGCCTTTGGCACTGTTGTGATTCTCTGTGAAGAGAATCTCTAGATGGCCAGACTGGCTGCTCTGTCTCTGAAACCATCAGCCTTTGGGATTCCTTTCCTTTTAATTCTCCACTTCCCAGCTCAGTCCCTGGCTTACATTCTTTACACACAATATGTGTTGGCACAGAATAAATTCTTAAAGTTGGCCAAATCAGAGGTGGGTAATAAGTTTCATCAAAATAATGGTTTTTTTTCTTTCCCATTTTGCTCTCATTGGCTCTTTTAATAGTGACGATTTCTCATGGTTAACACACACTCATTGGTTGTCAGATACTGTGTTAAGAACTTAATAGATTATGCTGCAAGGACAACTTTGAGGCCCATTTTATTGATGAAGAAACTGAGGCTCAGAGGTAATGTCATTTGTCCAAGGTCATAGGAAATGTGGCGGAGCTGGACTTCAGACTCAAGAACCTCGGTTCTCAATCCACTATAGTTGTGGGTGTGCATGTGTGTTTATGCATATGTATGTGTATTTGTGTGTGTGTGTATGTGTAGAATACTGTTAAAGCTTTCTTTTGACAGAAGTCTTAATATATTTGAGGTCTTTTGGCTGTCTGACATCAAAGTGTCCCTTGTCAGAACAGTGTTTTAAATATACAACTTAAAATACATAGGATTACAAAGGAAAGGAACGTTACTGAAATAATACCAATATATAAAAACAAATCTGCAATGTAGTAACATATGTGCCTTTGTTAAGTTAATTAACAAGATCCAGCCATGGACTTAATTACTGTTATTTCAGAACAGGGAGAAGTGTGAGCTGTACGCAGGTCATCTCTCTCGGTTGTAATAGGATATGAAAATATCAGATTTCTATCGGTATAAAGGGCATGGGACCTACACCCAGTTACCTTTGTCTAATGTAAAAGTCATATACAGTAGCTTTATTTGATTTAAAAAAAATGAGGCACAGGGGCCGCTAAACTGCCAGGGCTTTTGCCTTCATTCATGATGGAAGGAAATGTTACCTTTCAGTTAGAGGTTGGGTGTATATGGATACAATATACTCACTTACATTCCTTGATACCCTCAATTCTATCCACAGATCCCTGATTAAAAACCTCTCCTCTATCTACTAACAAGATGCAAAAAAAATCTCCCTCTGAGACTTCCTCTAAAATAAGAAGTCCCCAATCTGTCCCTTCCCCACATTGAAGCTGGATCGCTTAACAAGGACACTGCTGGCCACAGGGCCAAAGCTGGGGAAGGGAGCTCAGGTTTGTCTCAGTAGGTGGGTGGCGCTCCTCCAGGATGAGCGCAGGTCTGGGCTCCACTTTCCCTCCACCTCTTCCAGCCAGAGGCTTAGTCGGGTCAGTCACCTTGGTGGTCAGCCTCGTGAATCAGTACGTGGAAATACCTCTTAGTCATACAGCCCAAATAGATGCTGTCTTCTTAAGGCAGCTTTCTTAGTGGGGCATTCATCAGCCAAGAGCTCTTATCCCATGCTCCTGCCCTACGGTGCCCCTGACACCAACACCGTGGAGGACAGAGTCTGGATTGTTGAGCTGCTTCTCAGACAGACAACTGGTCTATCACCACATGTCTACAAGGGGGCTGTAGGGGCCACTGCTTACCGGTGGTACCTGAGAACTGCTGCCAGTAGCCCTCTTGCCTCAGACTTCTCTTCACTCAATGCCCTGTTTAAAAATGCAACAGCTGGGAGCAGAATTGTCATACTCATCCCGCTGTTACACTGTAGAGATGACTGGGGCTGGGAGTGGCTCAAACGTGGGCAGTGCTGGAAAATCTCAAGGCAGATGGCAAAGGGGGAGAAAGAAGGGTGTGAGTGTGTGTATGTGTGTGATGGAGGAGGTCAAGGAACACACAGAATGATAGAACACTGACATTATTTGATTTTTCTCCTACCTCCATATACAGCATATTCTACCAGACTCAAGTTTATGAGGCAGGGACCAAAACTTTCTTATTCATTGTCTCATCTTGAGCACTTAGCACAGTGACTGGCACATAATAGTTGCTAAATGAAGAAATGAGGGACTGCGACCCTGCCTTGTAAGCAAGACATCTGAAGCTTGGCGAGGGTAAGTGGCCATGTAAAATCACACAGCTGGGGCCAGCGAACGGTCTCAGCGAAGGGGAGGGCTGCTCTTCAGAAGTGTGGCAACCAGACACCCAAGGCAAATTGTTACCATTGTCATGATTCCGCAGACGATGTGACCTGAGTCTGTTTACGGCCAGGTCTAAGTTTAGCTACCAAGACAAGGTCCTGCAATCTGATCTCTTAGAAGCCACATGTGACGTCAGAAAACTGAACTTTGGTCCTCCGCCTTCTAGCCCTTAACCGCCTATGGGGTTTCTGCTCTGTGCTGCTGAGAGGGGGTAACAGTAACAGCAGAGGGAAATGTTATTTGGGGGCTTATTATGCATTCAGGCACTTTACATGCTTTTCATCTCATTAAACTGTTGCCTAAATATAGACCTCTCATAAACTCTCTTTCTTAAATGAGGAACTAGAGGTCCAGAGGGAATAAGCAACTTGGCAAAGGCTGCAGACCTAGACAGTGGCAGAACTACAAGTCACATCTGGATCTCCACGCTTGCCAGGGTTGCGTGTTTAACCCCTCCTCAAAATGGCCCTGAAACCATGTGTCCAGAGCTAAGTTCACAGCTAAAATGTTCACCTGACCTTCTGAACTTCGAAGGTATGAGTGTGACATGAAACCAGGGTACTCCGGGCATGGAGGTGATGGAATAGAGAAGATGCCCTTTCCCCTTTCATTCTTAAAAGACGCCGCGAGTCATTGCATCCCTCACAGGTAAATTTTGGATATGATATTTTCCCCCCATGGCGCGGCTGCACCTTGAAGGGATTGACCAAGCAGATGACAAGATTTTTCTCGGCTCTTTTATATAATCATCCCTTCACATTTTTCTCCAAAGATTAATTTTACAAAGGATCCAATGCTTTAAAACAGGAGGAGGAACAAAAAAAATATATCAATCTATAAACAAATCATGTGGATTTGAAACAGTCACTGGGGGCTGGACTCCAGCGCTAACTTTGTCCTTCACAAGAATGACCTGCCAAACAGAGCCTTGGGTTTCTTCTCCCTCTGCGATCTTATTTCCTTTTAAAGCATGTCCTGGTGGGGGCTTGGGCTGTGTTTTGCTTGGTCCTGATTCACATGTTATTGGGTAGACCAGGCATGTAGAGATACACATTCCAGAGGCCAAGCTAATCCCCAGGATAGAATTTCCTGGAAGCTCTAGAACTTGAATCGCTAAGATTTTTTTTTTTGGTCAAGTGTCATTGCTTCTTCAGTAATTTCTGGATAATACTGTATAATTCCTTAGATTGTCTCTCTACCAGCCTCCTCCTAAGAGAGTTCTATGTCTTCTAGAGAGCCAGGAATGGAGAAATCTAGAAAGCCCCTCTTCTTCACCAGGGAACTGCCTTTGACTTACTGTGGGTGATAATACAGACCTGGTTATGGCCAAGAAATACTAGAGAAATACAGATGCCTGATAACATTTGGCAAATGCTGGGCAATTCTTGAATTGCACTGTCAATGTGTAGGAAGACCTTCGCTTTTGTGTGAAGCTTGCAGTAATAATCCTAGCCTCTCTCTCTCTGAAATAATAATCCTAGTCCCTCTCCATCAGAATTCTGCTTCTGACGAAAGCCTTCTTATTCCTCTCTATAGTGGAAGAGCTTTAGTTTTGGAATCAGAGAAGATTGGGTTTGCATTCTTAACTTGTCATCTTATGATCTTGGTCATTTCAACTCTGAGTCTTCATTTACTCGTGTAAAAAAGGACATGAATATTTTTGCACAGTGGTCTTAAAGGCTAAATGAGATAAGATGTGTGAAAACGTCAAGCACCCTGAGTGTACTCAAAAGATGCCTTTCCCTTCCTTTCTTTTGCCTGTCCCCCAAACTGTCCTAACAGAGAACAGGGTCTTCCTGCAGAGTCCTTAGGGCACAAGAGTCTGAATGGGTGATAAAAGTAAGACCAGCAGGTCATTTCTGAGAAAACGTGGAAAAGGGTTTGCTTCTCGTATAAAAGAGCAGACTGTGAGCAAAGGGTTGATTTGGGAGTTTATAAAGCTTGATAGCTGTGTTATTGTTTATGTTTTTGTGAAAACACAATTGAATCTCCCCAACAAATATTTAGGCTTATATACCAAATGTAAGTTTTGGCTGCTAAAAGAGTCTCGGTGCACATAGGAGACCCAAATTCTAGTTTCTCTCTTTCTATGAAAGCTTCATAGAATGCATTCCTGGAGCTTCTGCAGATCCGTGCCATTGATATGTGAGAAGCTCTGAGAATGGATTCAGGAGACCCCGAATGCTCCATGTCAAGTTAAGGAAATGGTACGATCTCGAGGGATTCCTATAGAAGTGGCTGGTGGCCCTGCACCTGGTAAGATGGGGGCAGCTGCCAGCCAAATCCTCTTCCTATTAGCAAATGAAGGGGAAGAGGGGGATGTTTCCAAAGGAAGGCAGCAGCTGTCTCTCCACACTTCTGCTTTCAGTGGAATAGAATTTTAGGCCCACTTTTCCATAATCATTTGTTATTTGAGAGACAGTTTGATGTCCAGCAAAGGTCAGTGGACTGCAGGGAGAAGGAAGTCCAGTTCTCACCCAAAGTTGGCCACTTCCTAGAAAAAATGACCTATGCAAAGTCACTAGTAAGTGCCTGCAGTTGCTGTCATGACTTGACCCTTTGTCAGAAAACTATTCTTGCGATACATATTTAAATGGCGTTGGATGAACACTGGGGAGATAAGAACTCCCAAGGTCTGTGCTCATCGTGACGGATTTCTGCTGTATTATACGCACACTATTTTGAATGTGAAAGTTGGAAAGAAAGAAAGATTCTCCTTCCCAAAGTCAAATCAAATACCTCCCCTGGAGTCAGGTTCACTCTAGTGGGTTACACAAGGAACTACTCCCTGATTGCTCTGCTCTTTACCTCATTCTCACCGGAAGTGGCCGGAGCAGGGAAAGGAAGACGCACACGTGAGCATCTGTCCCTCCTTCCCGGTCCCCAGCCTTTGCTGAATTCAGCCTATTCTTTTTCTCCCTTGTCACCTTTGGTCAGTTAACATGGAGAGGAGATCAGACTCTGGGGTCTTCAGAGGGGAATACCAAAGTCATTTTCCACTGTCCTACTTGTAGAAGGGTTGGTTAGCCCTGGGACAGGAGAAGTTCTTGGAGCTGAGATGGCTTAGGATGAAGCCTAGAGATGATCTGTGATACAGCTTTTCCCTGTGTCCCACCACCAAGGTGACAGAGGCATTGAAAGTCAGTTGTCAACTCCAACCCCACATGTTCAGACCCGTTGCACAGTATGACAAGTATCTGCTATTTACAAAGTAATGGCTTCATCATCTGTTTTTGGAGATCCTTTAAGAAGGACTTGGATAATTTCTTTCTTCCTTCCTTTCTTTCTTCCTTCCTTTCTTCCTTTCTTTCTTTCCTTTCTTTCTTTCTTTCTTTCTTTCTTTCTTGCTTGCTTGCTTGCTTTCTTTCTTTCTTTCTTTCTTTCTTTCTTTCTTTCTTTCTTTCTTTCTCTCTCTCTCTCTCTCTCTTTCTCTCTTTCTCTCCCTCTTTCTCTCTCTCCTTCTCTCATTCCTTCTTTCTTTTTAAATATGGCTCTCTTTTGGGCCAAGTTGCTTATACACCTATGGGCATGTCTCCAATGGCTTGGCTATTAAGGTCTTTAAGTGACAGCTTAATATATTTCTAAGATTAAGGGAGCCAAGGACAATTCTCGAGGAGCCGTGTTGATGTTGGATTGGCTCGCCTGGGCGGCATGCCAGCGGTTTTGCATGCTGCAGGAACTGGAGGTGAAGGCAGGAAGGGCTGAGTACATAGGGGAGGGCGGAGCTGGAGGACAGGAAAGCGGAGAGGAATGTGATGTGGAGAAGGGTGGAGGGAGACGCCCAGCTGACCCTGGCAACGCACTTAGAAGAGCCCTCATTTCATGCTTCTCCGACATTGTCCTGAGGAGTGAGAAATAGAACCCTTTGGACCCGGTCCACTGGCAGACGCACAGTCAACAGTGAACATGCTCTCAGATCTCTTTGTTCTAGTCCTTTCCAAATTCCTGCAAATGGCTCTTTGGCAGCCACACGGTCTATATTCTTGCAGAGCCGAACGGGCTCCAGTACAGCTTCTCAGCACCCTCCGAGAAGAGGCTTGACCCCTCTGTGCCTCCGTTTCCTTATCTACAAGGTGAAAGGAGCTCCAACCCCCGCTTCCAGGCCGATCATTCCCTGACTCCAGCGTGAAATGCGCAATGACTGGGAATCTCTGTGGTGTAAGCAGATTTTGTATCTGTTGGTGTCAAATGAAGACACGATCACCGGTCGGTTCTAGTTTACCAAGGCTGTGCTATTGGCTTTCGTTCAACTGAATGAAAACTAGCTGCTCCTTAGATGGAACAGTCACCTGAAGAAGACAGGTATATCCTTCATTCACCTAAAGACCCCTTTCAGCCTTCACACATCCACTGAAACACACAACCACCACCGACAGTGACAATGGCTAAGTCCATTTGAGCTCATGGGCTGAGCCTTTTGTATAAATCATCTCATTTGATGATCATAGACCCCTTGGGAGGGAGATGCTGCTACTGTCTCCCCAGTTTTTGGCCAAGGACACAGGCTTAGAAGTTAATCAGCTTGCCTAAGAGCACACAATGAGTAAGTGGTGGAGCTGGGATTTGAACCCAGATCTCGTGACAAGAATCCTGGGCACTTAATCAACAGGAGCAGAACACATCCACAACAGTGGTTGATTCCACCAAGAGAAATGACATTTGGCCTTCCAGGCTGTTTGCTACCACGGAATGTTGGCTAGTTCATCATTCTCAGGGAACTCTCCTGAGTTCCCTGCTAGGGGAACTTCTCTTTCCCAGTCAAAAGACAAGTGATGGCTCCTGGGCAGCCAATGGGAACATTCGACTCAGCACAAATGAGAGGAGGGAGGGAACTGCTTCTCTGCCCTGCCACTAACTATAGATGTGACCCATGGCGAGTTCCCCCGGTCTGCCTGGAACTGGATAGATGATCTCAAAGGCTGCTCCAGGTTGGGGATTTTATGTTCTCTCTCAAAGACCTTTTTATGACTTTCCAGCTGCTAGGGATTCCCACAACAGCCCCCCTCCCCTTGGGGGCAGGGCAGTGGTGACAGCTTGTATGCCATTTTAAATTATTTCTCATTTTGTAAATAGGTCTCTTGCAGCGCTAAGAGCCTAGGAAATGGTTTCAAAATGCCGAACTGTGATAATGCATCCTGGAGCCCAGTGTTAGAAAACCCCCCACTGTTGCAGATTTAACAAGTAAACAGGCAATAAAAGATTTTCAGCATGCGGTTGATAAGACACAGTGTCTCATCACTGCTGTACAGCTCAGCAAGGAGAGTCCCCCCTCCCCCGACTCCCTTCCCTCCACTTGACTTTCTGAGTTGAAAACATTGGTGAGTTTACAAGTGGTGATCCTCCTCCCGATTGATTGTCACAGTCCCAAGGGGTAAAAAAATAACCGCCCTTTCATCTCCACCCACCACATGCTTTCTCTAAGCCTGTAATTGGATCTAAATGGAAAATAAGCCCTTTGCAGGCCAAGGAAGTTGGCACTGGAGGTTGACAAGAAGGAGACCTTGTTCCACCTCTAATCGGGACAATCACTCTCTCCCATGCAAAGGCAAATAAAAGCAAGACTTCCTCCAAGGGGTGGCCTGGGCTGGTGCTGAGGAGGAGGGGGATGGTCCATGTACCCTGTCTCCCTTCACACATTAACCATCAACCTGCCTGTAGTAAAACCACACCGAATCATCTGACTTTCCAGAGGACAGTGAGCCTCTGCCCCTTTAGCTCTAAACTCTTTGACCTCAGCTGAATCTGGGGAGGCAGTTCAGACACACAAATACCCCAGTGCTACCACAAATTAAAGAACAACAATGCACACAATGTATGTCCGCGGACACTATGGTCTTAAGTGGTTCACTGGTAGTCGATTGAGTCCTGCTGTGTATGGCATGCAGCATTGGAACAGAGATAAGCCAGAAAGGTTTGTTCTCAAGGACTTTAGAAAGATGGGTAGGGAAATCAGAGCAGTGTGCAGGACTCACTACTATGCAGAAATTAATAGGTATCTTACCAATATCTAAGGTGTTGCAAGAATTCCAAAGAAAGAGAGCTGACTTGATTCTGCAAATAGTCTGACAAATCCAAGGGAGCAGGTACATTCCTGAGAGATGTACTGATGAAGTCCCCCTTGGTGTACATATTTAGAAGGGTCTGATGGACTCTGTGTGTGGGTGTCTGGCACAGGTCAGCCATGCAGTGGCCCAGCTGTAAATCAGATGCATGAATCCTGCCCTTCTAAGTGGTTGGCTTGCATCCTAATTTTAATTTTGATTCTGACATAGGTATGTTTTTGTTTGTTTTTCTCACATTCCAATCCCCCCAGCTAATGGCAGATGCCTAAGGAGGACTTTGCCCTACAAGACCAAATTTCCTGAAATCAGAGTTTAAAAATGACTGCTCTGGGAGATTACCCCACTGTGTACCATCACTGTTACTGTTGCGGTGAGGGAGGTGGGGCCTGTCATCCCCCATGGGAGACAAGGAAACTGAGGCTCAGAAACATAACTTAGTTATCGTGATGCAGCTAAAAAGTGGCAGGACCAGGGTTTTGATGCTTAAGGCGTTCCTTAGACTCTGCTGCCTGCTGGAACCAAGTCTCTGTGACCCTGGGCCTCAGTTTCTCCATCGGCAGAGCCGGTCTCTGGGCTTCCTTCCAGCTCACATGTCCTATAAGCCTCCAGCCTGTGGCCTCTCCCAACTGCATTCAGGTAAGTAACCGGAGGGGTTGGAGCTACAGGCACAGCTGCAGGCCCCTCTGGCAGCAATTCACCCGTGACCTTCTGGGCTCTCCGCCAGCCCTTCTTGAAAGGGAAACGTGCAGACCCCGGGGACAGAAATTAGTTCCCGTGTGCTGGAACTGCTGCCCCTGCCAACATCACCAACTAAAGAAACTGGTTTCTTTGTGTGTGAATAACACAGAACACCAGGATGAACGCAAAAGGGGAAATTCCTTGTGAGTAAATATTCCCCCTCCTCAAACCATCACCTCAATCACAGGAAGGGGAAGGTAGGGTTTTTCCCTAAGGACCAGAGAATTACCATTTAAGAAAAAGTTTTACCTGATTTAAATTCTAATTCGCATCACCAAAGATCTAAGATCCTTTGCAAACACTTTCCACAATGGCTTTAAAGAGTCAAATTTGGGGTGTGCGCCTGTTATCTTAAACATGTATTCCCAAGGATTCTATTTTCTATGAAGTCTTGGAATGTAATGCATTTCCTTCTCCTTACTTCTAGGTAAGTCTCCGCAAACCCATTGGCAAGGGAAACGGGAAAAGAAAGAATCGGGGTAAATACAGACAGATCTCAGCTCACCTTCTGAACTCCCGGGTTGAGGTCCTTGGCCACCTTTGCCATCCTCTTCCGCGGTGGAGAAACAGCGCCTGGCTTCTTAGGCAGAGGCGCGAGGGCGCGCAGCGGGGACAGCGGTGGCTGAATGGCCAAGATCGCGGGCCCAGGGGGAGCTCTGCGCGCAACACAGCTCAGACGGGCCCTTTAATTGGAGAGCGGGACTCCCTCTAAAACCTCGCCAGCCAATCCGCGCCGGCGCTCGCACTTGGCCGGCCAATCCCAGCGCGCGGCTTCCCCCCTCCCTTCGGGTGGCCGGAGAGAGCGCTGCCCTGACGTCAGTGCGGCCGCGGCCCCTGCCTCTCCGGGCGGCGCACATCTGTCCCTGAGCGGCAGGAATCCGTCTCCACGCCCTTCTCCTTTAAAGGACAACGGGGCAGAGGGTGGGGCGGGCCGCGGGGCCCCGCGATCCGTTCAGGTCAAAAGGGAGAGTGATCAAACAGGAAGGCTCGGGTATTTTTAGTGAGCTCGGTCCAAAAATAAGTGCTGAACTGTGTTCCCCTGTCCACCCTTTCTGCCTTGTCGTAGAGAGGTGCGAGGGGAGGGGGAGGCAGGTGCTGTGCAGCAGCGTCGACTTAGCTGGCTAGCCTTCCCCAAACCTGGGCAAACTTTACAATCACCAGAGAAGAGGTGAGCTTCCAGGGAGTTTTTTTTTTTTTTTTAACCTAGTGTTTGTAAATTATTTTTTTAAATTGAAGTACAGTTACAATGTGTCAATTTCTGGTGTGCAGCACAATGTCCCAGTCATATATATACGTGCGCACACACACATACATATACATATATACATATACACATACACATACATATACATATATATACACATATTCGTTTCAAATGTTTGTAAAGTATTAATCAGCCTTTCATAACTTGCTTTAGTATAAACCCTTCCCATTCAGTGAGGAAGAGAACACTGTCTTAATTGTATAAATGCCAAGATGTTCATCTTCACTCCTGTAGTCACTTTTTCTCATCATTATCTCAGCTGCTGTTATTATTACCAGGATAATGACAATGTTCGCTCCCATTTTGTGGTTGAGGACATAGGATCAAGAAGGTAACTGGTCCAAAGCTGAACTCTTCAGCCAGACCCTAACCTGTAAGAGTGAGCTTGAGAACTTATCTGGGGAGAAGTGACACAGATGACAAGCCAGAAACTAGGAAATTCTTTTTTTTTTTTTTTTACATAAATTAGGTCATGCAGGTCCAGACAGGTAAGGTTCCACCTGTGGATTTCTCCCATCCTTGGGATGAAGTCTTTTGCAACATCTAACGTTACAATTTCTCTATAAGGCAAAATCTGCCAGGTCTTCCCTTGCTATGCCATCATGTTGTCTGTCTATAAATCCACATCTGTCTCTTAAACCAGTTTCACAGATCTGGGTTCCCAGAGCCATTTTCCCTGCCTGGATAGAGGAATAAACACAGCCCCTTTCCACCTTTTTCAGACAGGAGAATACTCTGTCATGAGGTTTTCATCCTATAACCCATGCTGGCGGTGTCCTCTGCCAGAAATCAGGGCTCAAGTGGGCTATAATAAAACTGGGTTGCAGGGAGACTGAAGGGTGGTCTCAAAGTACAACATGACTTACTTTGGGACTGATTTGGGAGGACAAGGGAGGTGCAGATCACATTCTAGGGCTTTTTCTCTCACTGGAGACATTTTCCCTATTCAAGCCTCCTCCACTTTGGTTCTTAACACATTGTCTTCTCCAGGGATCCTGAATCTTGACCAGTGATCCCAAATTCTGGTTCCTTTTTCATATTCCTGGAAAGAGCTTTCTGTTTGTGGCTCCTCTTTTCCAAGACGAGGAAAGGTCTTTTTCTTCTTTCATGGATTTCTGCTATAATTGATGTTTGTCTTGGTTACCCCCATCTATAGTCTCAACACCTAGCATGTGATGGATGCTTAGAACACATTTGTAAAAGGAGTGGAGACTGGGCTCTGGACCTTCATCAGTAGTGAGCTGGCAAGGTGGGACTAGGAGAGATGGCGCAATGCCCAACTGGTCTGGTTTGTCCAAACTTCCTAGGTGGGCTGCCTGTTAAACCAGTGTGTAAATAAACGGTGGCCAACAGAAGCCTGGCCTGGGAGAGGTTTCCACGTGAATAGTCCTTTCAGTAGCAAATCCTAGAACAATAGTGCTGACCTGGGATATCCTGCCAGAAGCCTTTATACTTCAGAGCTCTGGGAACAGAAGCCAGGAGAGTAACAAAGGCAAGCTTTATCCCTTGCAAACCAGGCAGAAGCCTTCCCAGTGAAGTCATTTCCCACTCCCAAAGCCAGCCTCTCTGCCCCATCTTGAGAAATTATTGTTCTGTGGAATAATTCTCATTTTATTAGCTTTAACACAGTTTCGCTCCATATGAGACCCCCTTCCCCTCTTATTTTTTCCCTTGGCCCTAGTTTCAATTAAGGAGGCAGATATTGTGGCTTTTTCTCAGGATGTGAGAATCAGAAGCCATTGCTTGGATGGCCTCGTCTCTCCCTTCTGGAAATGAACTTTCGTGAGCAGAAAGCTTGATCTCTCTGCAGCTGAGGATGCTGACTCTGATCTTGAAACCCTACTGTCAAGCCACATGTTCCAGGGGACCTAAAGTCATGGTTTTGGCTAGACAACTTAGACAGATTGTTATCATTTGGGATTCTTCTGGAAAATAGAGGAAATCTGGCCCATCACACCTCAGCCTCACTCCATCTCTGGGGTCCTTTTGCTTCTCTTTAGAAGCAAATGGGGCATCTTTTCCAGGTTGGAACAGTAGAGAGATCTGATGTTCCCAAGGTTCATTGCTCTGTGGTGCTGGGGCTTATGAGAAGCTTCATTTATCCATCAAGCACTTTTGGGGCACCTGGTGTAAGCCATGCCCTGTGTAGGGTGCTGGAGACACCTTGGTAAATAAAAGACTCCTTCCCCTTCAAGAGTGTCTTGTTCTGATAAATACCACTGGGAATGTTTGATTGACAAGCTCTTATCTTAATTGAACTTCAAGACAACCATGGTATAAGCCTAATTATTCCATAATAATTCTAATTATTCCTCTGGAAGAAAACGGAGACTTGAGATAGTCAAGGGTTCCATCCAAGGTCACACTCCAGCAAGTGGCAGGGATGAAATTCATACTCAGGGCTTCTAAGTCCAGACTGTGTCCTTTCAGTTATTACACTGCCTCCTGTAATGACTGTCGAGGATTGATTACAAGAGTAAGCACCTCGGAGCAAAATGGTGGTGTTGTCAATGTGGTTGCTGGGTTTGTCACACCTGGGATTTTTGACTGTCTGTTTCTGCTCTTTTCACTGTTGATTCATGAATTCAACAAACATTGAGCTGAGAAATACGATGGGTGAGGTGCTGAGCTGAAGATACGACATAGAATAAGATGTGAAAATTCCTGTCCTGACGCAGCTTCCATTCCACTGGGGAGAAGCTGACATTGAACAGGCGAACAGATCATTAGATAAGGTAACAAGGATGGCAGTGAGTGCCTCAGAGGAAACAAATGGAGGAGGGAGTCCCTGGATGGGTGGTCCCTTGAGATCAGCTGGTCCAAGAAGATATGACTGAGGAGGTGATGTGTGTGAGCTGAAAGCTGAAGAGGGAGAATGAGTCAACTATGAGTAGAGTTGACATGGAAAGAACATTCCAGAAGGATGGAGTCATGAGTGCACAGGCCCTAAGGTGGGCATGGGCTTGCTGTGTCTGAGGGATCATAGGGTCATTGTGACTGGAGGGTGAAGAGGGAGAATTTGTGAGGAGACCTGAGAGGAAGATTTGGTGAGGACCAGATCACATTGGATGCTGATAAGGAGTTTATTTATTTTTTTCATTAAAAAAATTTTTTTATTGAAGTACAGTCAATTGCAATGTGTCAATCTCTGGTGTACAGCACAGTGTCCCAGTCATGTATATACATACATATATTCATTTTCATTAAAAGGTTATTACAAGATATTGAACATAGTTCCATGTGCTATACAAAAAAAAACTTTATAAAATCTATTTTTATATATAGTGGCTAAAATTTGTAAATCCCAAAGTCCCAAATTTATCCCCTCCCACCCCCTTTCCCTGGTAACTGTAAGATTGTTTACTAAGTCTGTGAGTCTGTTTCTGTTTCATAAATGAGTTCATGGTGTCCTTTTTTTTTTTAAGATTCTACATATAAGTGATATCACATGGTATTTTTCTTTCTCTTTCTGGTTTATTTCACTTAGAATGACAATCTCTAGATCCATCCATGTTGCTGCAAATGGCATTATTTTATTCTTTTTTATGGCAGAGTAATATTCCATTGTATAAATATACCACAACTTCTTTATCCAGTCATCTGCTGATGGACATTTAGGTGGTTTCCATGTCCTGGCTATTGTATAGAGTGCTGCTGTGAACACTAGGGTGCATGTATCTTTTCACATTAGAGTTCCCTCCAGATATATACCCAGAAGGGGGATTGCTGGATCATATAGTAAATCTATTTTTAGTTTTTTGAGGAATCTCCATACTGTTTTCCATAATGGCTGCACCAAACTACATTCCCGGGAGTTTAAATTGTTTCCCGAGAACAGTGGGAAGCTATAGATCAGTACTTTCCCATTGAGATATAATGTGAGCCACGTATATCACTTAAAGTTTTCTAATAGTCACATTTAAAAAGGTAAAAAATACAGGTAAATAACTTATATTGTATTTAATGCAATATATCCAAAACGGTGTCATATCCACCTGTGATATATGTAAAACATTACTGAGGTATTTTACATTCTTATTTTTGTGCTACATTTTTGAAACCTGGTGTATGTTTTATACTTTCAGGACATCTCTGCTGAGGTCAGCCACCTTGCAAATGCTCGATAACCATGTGCGGCCAGCGGCTACCACACTGGACAGTGCAGTTATAGAGAGCTTTAAGCAGGGGAGTGGCAGTATCTGATCTACTAGTTAACTCATAGCAAGGACACCCAAGAGGTTCTAATAGAACCCCAGTTGGTAACTAACAGACAGTGAGACCGAGGGGCTGGGAACCCATAATGAAGTGTCTGCTCTACCATGTGTTTCAAGCTCTTCACTGGGAAGGAAAAGTGACCTAGAAAGAGGCCAAGCAAAACCTGTAACCAGATCT